TTTTGAGGGAGGGGGGGAGGGGGGGTTATTGGAGGCACATGGGGGTAAAAATAAATAAAATAAAACTCAATTTTCAATGCAATATGCATACTTGATGCTTGAGTGTATGTTGGTCGGGCAAGGTGCAAGACGAAGACGGGGTGTTGGGGGGGTTGGTATGGTGGTCTGACCTTTAGGCAAGCCCCACCCCTCCTCACTCCAGGGTGAGCCCATCATCACTGGGGAGCTGAGTTTACAATCAACTCGTGTTTATTTTGCTGGATTTATGGCCAGAAATGTGTCGGTTTCTCAGGCGTGACTTCAAAAATGGTCTCATAATAATTCTAGAATATTTGACTAATGTCCATCTTCAGATTGTCAACAGCGATTGTTCCATCAGAGGGCATTAAAATAATATGACCTCGTTATTTTGGATTCGTTTTTCTTTTGTAGCTGTACGCTTAAATAGTAATGAGATCAGCTTCCATACAATGTATAGAAATATGTGTATACATGAACTCCATTTCATGCAACATAGTGACAAATGGATGGATATTATAGAGACAAACATATACATAAATACATGCATATATATATATATATATATATATATATTTTTTTTTTTTTTACTGAGTAACAAATGCATTTTGTAGTTACTTCTTATGTTTGTAGAATACACTTGCAAATGAGCACTTAGGTTGCTATATGTAATTTAGATGGAGGTTGATATAGAAATAGATGAAGCTTTTATTGCGCAACACACGCATCATCTAGTTGTTGATTTTGCAGGATCTGATTAGTCATGAGAGTTCATGTTGTTTTATAGAATTCATATGTGTCCTACATATGAAAGTATGGAGCGAGAGTTGGACACGTCCAACAAATGGATTTCCCAGTTACGTTTAACTTTTATAACTGTGTACTTTTTGGAGCGGCACCAGTTAGTATGTTTGTTGTTTTGAGCAATATGATGAGGAACAAGAGCCCAGTGACATATTGAGTGTATTCTTTGTACAGCATTCCCTTATAAGGTTTCAATGGGCAGCACTGACTTTTATTTTTTTTGTCTTTTTAAGCAAATCAGCCAAGAGAGCCCATGTATTGATGCTATATTTACATCAAGTGTATTTATGTACTTTTTATTAGCCATCAGCTGCATTAGTTAGTTCTTTGGTTTTTTTTGGGGGGGGGCAATACAATTTCCATAGAGAAGGGAGAACAGAATACACGGTCATCATTACTGAATGTGAGTTTGTTATTGTTGCTGAGCAAAGTCAGAGCCCCCTTGTAGTTTTGTGCATTATTTACACGGCAAGTTGTCAAATGACAAAAACATTAACATTAAAACTTGGACGCCCCCCACAGCCTCCACACATACCCAGTGCAATATTGGGCTTGTCTTTCTCTGTCTCGATCATATTGGTACCCCTCCCCCCAGTCTGTCTGAGCCCCCCACACGCACACATCATTTATATCTGTCAGCAGCCCCAAACAAGACTTGATGTGACAAATGGCGGTCTAGCACGGCAAGAAACGCGCTATGATTGCCCTCCGCGAGTGGGTCTGGTCCTCACCTGTGGTGAAGAGCACGATGGCCTTGAGGCAGCTGTACTCGGCCGAGTCGACGTGCAGCGCCTTGAGCTTCTCCACCTGCTCCTGGAAGATCCGAATGTGGTCCATGAAGGCCACCACGCGGTCCGCCGACATGGGCGAGGCGTGCAGGCCGGCCGCCGCCAGCAGCGGTGCCACATGCAGAGGCATGGAGCACTGCGCCGCGTTCAGCACGAACAGCTCGCTCCACGTCAGCCGCAGCAGGGCCACCTGGTCGGTGATCTGCAGGTCCGGGAAGAAGGGGATATTCCGGGCCCACTCCACGGCGCTGAAGAGCATGCGCGCAGCCAGTTCGCAAATGTTCTCGATGCCCATGATGTTGTTGGGCTGCATGCACTGGCTGCCGTAGCGGGACGTCGGGTAGGGCTCCGCGCGCAGCAGCAGTGAGATATATCCCGAGAGGTACGAGTGGCAGTGCAGCGGGTCCCCGTTGGTCAGCGCGAACTGGCCGTGGTGCGGCTGCGTGGGCGGCACCCGTCCCCTTTGCACGGCTGCAGTAAAAAGAGAGACTACAGATATTGAAGCCTGAATTCTGCACACCAAGCACCGGCCAAGCGGTGAACGCCAACTGCTTAGCGGCTTGCAAAATGGCAGCGGGAACGAACACACGTCCACGCAACGGAGAAGGCTGCACAAAGGCGTCGCGTGTGGAACCCCGAACCCACACGATTGCGTTTTGCAATAATACTCCACGCGCACTCGGTAAACAATAGACCTCGAGTGGACGCGCCGCGAGCGAGCGATCCTTTATGTCCGTTTTTTTTTTAAATCAACATACCCACACGTATTCGATGTCCACACTTATAATCGCTCGTTTAAAGTGAGAATATGACCCCAAAAAAATCTAAATTAATTCAAAAATATAAAATAAAAAAGATCCAGCGGAGCTCCCCCGACTCGAGCGCCGGCACAAGGCGGCACTGAGGCGCTATCCGGCCGGCCACCAAGCGAGGGAGCACCCGCTGCATCACACACACACACACACACGCACAGACACACACACACCGACGACAACGCAAAGCAAAAAGAAATAAATATATGAGGTAAACAAAAAGTCCCAATACCTTCCCGTCTCATGCCGACCTTGAGGCATTTTTTTAGGCGGCAGTACTGGCACTGGTTGCGGTGGTGCTGGTCGATAGGACAGTTCCGGTTGGCCCGGCATGTGTACGTCAGGTTCCGCCGCACGCTGCGCTTGAAGAAGCTCTTGCAGCCCTCGCAGGTGAACTGGCCGTAGTGCTTGCCGCTCGACTTGTCCCCGCACACCACGCACTCGATGTGTTGCGGCTGCTTGTCCGCCTGCTGCTGAGCACCTTGGCCGCCGCCGGGCGCCGACTGCCCGTTGTTTGGGCCGCCTTGCGCGGGGGTCTGCGGGGCCGGCGGCGCCACCTGCGCGGCCGTCAGCCCCAGCTGGCCCGGCTGAGCGCTGCCCAGCGCCAGCCCGCCTTGGGTCTGCGAGGAGAGGGCGCCCTGGGTGTCCGCCACGTCGTCCTGGGAGCCTCTCCACACTACCATTGCCATATCTGCCTCTCAGTCAACGGGGGGGAAACTTTTTGCTCGGCCGTTTTGTCTCTCTTTTGACCTTTTCGGAGGGCTGCCTTTCCACGCGCTGACCGGGGTCGTGGGGGGGCAGATGGGGAGGGGGGGCGGGATGTCACCACAGCAGAGGCGCCGCCGCGCTCGACGCTCCGCTCCGGGAATGAGTAGAGTCGACGACGACGACGAGGAGGAGGCGGAGGAAGAAGACGACGACGGGGAGGAGGCTGCTTCTCACCAGCGAGGCCGAGTCAAGGGGGCTCCTACTGCCGGCCATCCAGCACCCCCGTCGGCGGGGAAGGTGGGCCGAGTGCCGGGACGAGAGCGAGCAAGCAGCATGGACCGGCTTGGCTTTTTGGAGGGAGGAAGAGGAGAAGGAGGAGGAGGAGGAGGAGGAGGAGGAAGGAGGAGGAGGAGGAAGGAGGGTAGGAAAAGGGGGGGCGAGGATGGAGAAGACCGGCGGTCGAACGGGGACCAACAAGCTCCGGGTAAGAGTCTGGAAGAATTCTCTCCGCTTAAAAAAAAGGGGAAAATCCGCTTCTAGCGCCAGCAAATGTTGGCGATCTCCGCTTTTTAGAATCCTCGTCGCGTCTTCTTCTTGTTCTTTTCCGTGCGGTGACAATACGATTAGAATGCGGTTGAAAAGGCGACTCAAAGAGTGGAAATATGTTAAAAAGGCGGTCGGGGAGGTTTTTGGCTTAAGAGGAGCACGGCTGGCAGAATGCTTTCTCTCTGATCAGCTCGCTGAGCTTCTCTATATAGTGAACTTTGACACGACTGCTGCAACTTAGCACACGTTGCCATGGCGACGCGCTGCCATATAAGGCAGGCGGAGTATGTGTAGGACCGCCCCCTTCGCTCCCTATTGGCTGCCGAGACGCGGCTGTGCCACTTGGTGCCGAGCCAAGACGCGGCCGGGGTCGAGCAAGGGCCGCCGGGTCCTAAAAGGAGGCGTGTTTCCAGGAAGAAGGGGCGATTGGGGTGGGAGGCGGGAGGGGAGTCGTTTCTTTCTCAGCCATACCGTCCATGAAAAATATGTCTCACACTGTCTTGGATATTTAAATTAAACACAAATCAAGCGACGGCTGCAATTTATGTCTTTTTTTTCTAAACAAGATGAATGAGTAATCAAGGGAAAGGCGAGCTATTTGGTACGTTTTGCAAATAAAAACAGAATAGGTGAATATTACATTTGCATGAAACTCAATGTACCAAATCTTCAATTGAATGCAAAAAAATATTACAACTAATATTAACACATAGGCAAACCAAAAATAAAATAATTATCAAATAAAAGAAATTGAAGAAAATGATTTGACCCGAAATCCCAATCACACACAGCACACAATTCTGCACACAGACCAAAAGGAACAATATAAATGGAAAACAAAAATCTATGACAGAAGTGGAATTTGTCTTATCTTCAATTCATACACATGACCCCAAACAGTTTTGTTCATAAAGGCAAACAAAAACGTCAATCAAACGCATTCATTAAAAAACATAAAATCACAAAAATAAAATCCATCAAGCAATTAGAATAAGTAAAACAAAATATATACAAAAAATGTACACGTGCCCCTCGGATTGACAAGGGAGCAGACGCCCAACTAAGCGGTGATTTCTGCAGCTCGCCGCAAACCTGAACAGGAAAAGCGGTGGAGAAAGTACAAGGAAAGATGGATGCGAAACAAAAGTGCTCTCTAATATTCCATTCGCACACACACACTTCTGCTCAATCCGACTCATATGAAAATATCCGAATTCAGGCAGACAATATTCTTGCTATTGTACATTACGGCCCTATTGAGACGGCGACACATTTCAAAATTCAAAAATATTGTGATCTTAAAGGTGCCTGTAAATTGGCACAATTTAAAAAAAGACATTTGTACTGGAAAAATGTCTATAAAGCTGCTGCTATTGTTGTCCGCGTCTCCCCTCTCCCCAATATTATTATTAAAAGCCAGGCGATGACCTCATTCATGACCACAGGCTGTGACACTTGAACTCTGGGTGCGTGTGCGCGTGTGATTGTCTGCTCCACGCATTGTGGTCCCAGCACGGTGTATGGCTGCCTCCTAGCGTCTGAAAGTAGACTGCATGCATGCACGCCCGCCCCGCGTTCATTCTTTGCCTTCACGATCGCCGCGAGCGCGCTTGGGAGTGTTGACGCTCCACAAGCTGCTCGCCTGCGTTCAGTCGACGGCTCGGCGCAGCCTCGGACCAACTCAACCCGGGGACCGCATCGACTGTCGGCCAACTTGGATTTACTCGATTCCATCTGTGAGCCGTTTGAGCGCTTTTTTTTTCCACCCCACACCCCCCCCAAAAAAAAAAAAATTAGCTGCTGATTAGTGTGACTTTCGGGCTTTTATTTGCAGATTCTGCACAAACGGAGTATCTGTAAATAAAACAAACACTTCTTAAAATTTCGGACATAGCCTCGCTCCAATTATGGTGAGTATACATTATTTTGCACACTTTATGAGGATACCTTAGCACTAGAACTAATGTGTGGTATTAAAAGCAATAAATAGGACACGTCTGTATTAAGTAAATAACGGTTTTCATTTTTGCATGCATTTCCCCTTCACCTTAAATTATGTATGACCCAAAATGGTGTATAGGCAAACTGATTTTGAATAGTGATTGTGTTGTTGTTACGGCAGCACACCTACCAAATGCATACGCTGCTGACTCGTCCGTGGCGGGGTGCATCTTCTCTGCCCTTTAAAATCTTTAATTTAGTCTTGTATTGAGAGTCAGTCGGACTTCTTCTCCCTCACATGCAAAAAAAAAAAAAAAAAAAGAGGTTTAAAAAAAGAAGAAGAAAGAACTCGTCGTTTATTGCAAAACAGTCATATCTGAGCGGGACAAAACTTTGCAGAGAGCTCCGAAGAAACTCATTTGGTAATTGCATGAAGTCAATTTCAAAGGCTTGTCAAGAATTAAGAGGACCGAGAAGTCGAAATCCATCACCAGCGCCTTTTCTCTCCATACAGCGCGCAAGCTGCGGAAAAAAAAAAAATTGCTTTGTGTGGGATGTATGGGAGGGGGGGGGGAGACACCTGTCTGTATACAATCTGTATGCGTGGAAAGCATGCATTAGGACACATCTGACCACTTTTAACTCATTTAAGCGTGCGAAGATACGCACGGCGAACACAAACGAGACCGTTTGGTTGACTTATTGTCATAGAATAGAAACAGCCCACAGGATAAAGATGGGGGCAATCATAAATATCACCGGTGCATCATAAATATAGTTTAAAAAAGCAAAAAAAAAAAAAACGTTATGGGAATGCTGTTATTTTCAGCAAACTATTTAAAATACCACCTTCGTCATCTTTATTTGATTTCCAATTAATTGTGGGGCTGTAAAAATAAATAAGAGGATCAATTGGTCTCACGTGCAAAATAACGGTCAATCCGTTTGAAACGACAGATGGATTTAAGAAAATAATAATTTGTCGCATGGTAATTCATTTAGTGTATTTTATTTATGGCAATTTCCTTGCGGGTTGTAATAATTTACTGTGTGTGATTAGCAGTTGTTCTCCCTTCAGGCGCCATCATGCAAACGCGCGCGTGCACACACACCTACACACACGCACACACAAACGCACACACACACGCACACAAACGCACACGCGCGCAAACACACACACAGGCACACACTGCTGCTACTTCACGACGTGTGTGTGCACAACAATCGATTAAGACGACACAAACCAGCATGTTGCCTTGCGCTTCATATTTACAAATCACAAACGCAGGCGCGCGCACACACACACCCACACACTCCTACACGCACACACTCACACACACACACACACGCACTTACACACCTAGACATGCACACACATTCACTGTCATGATTTTCCCATGTTTGCAGAACAAAGTTTCACTCGTGCACGCGCGCCAAAGCACGTGAGATGACGCGTTAGTTGGCAGGGGTGCCCATCGATCAATACAATAAATTATAGCCTGTATAAAACAATCAATAGTACAAAAAATGGATTTCTCCAGTGAGGAATTGCAATCAGTAAAATAATAATTCTAATAATAATAATAATAATGAAAATAATGATAATAAATGAAAACATTCAATTCAAATACATTGAATGTATTAAAAGTAAAAATATAAATGAATTCACAAGTACACTGCTCAAGGTCACGCCCCCGCCCCCACAAAACAAAAAAACAAGAAAAAAAAGGAAAAGCGGATGGATCATAATCAATCACATATAATATCTCCGTCTAATTCATACGAGGTCAAAAAAGTGAAGGGGGGGAAAAAAGATGGTGGGCTGTGGTATATGTGTGTGTCTGAGGGTGGG